TAGGTCAGATCATATCATTCTTTCCGATTTGTAATTGCTATATTAAGATTGGATCAGATCGTATTATTTTTTCTGATGAATATCTCACATACTAATAACGCTGAATTAGGCCATGTAACTCTTTCCGATGAATATTTGAAAAATCTTTTGTTTCTCTTTTTCGAGGCACCGGTCAATTAACGCTGATTTTATATCTAATGAGATTCGAGATCATAATTGGAGGCGAAAAGATTTCATAAATTACCAATTCAAACTTGAAACTTTCGAAGATTTTTCACATGCTGATATGCATTAGAAATTTTGCTCTGGCATAAGTCCCATAAAGTAGTTCATCAACACGTTAAGTGATGTTAACAAATATATTTTGTCTATCAGAAAAATGTCTTAAAAAAAATATATTTAGCCGTCTTAGTTATTCAAATTATTGTACAATTACGAAATATATTTTTGCAAATACTAGTTTTACATTGCAAAAGCTCGCAATACTTTGTTTACACAGAAGTATCAATCCTTAATGAGATTAATTTTCTGTAGATCTTTGTGCAAAACATAAATCTGTACAAACGAAATAGAAAGAGAAATCGGAAAAAGCGAATATGTACTTATTATTATATTTATTTTACGTCAAGCATTAAAACATACAAAATTCTATAGTTGGATGAAATCCACAGACTAGTGATCAGCATGTTAATCATTATAATAAGAATGCAACACGTATTCGTGCAAAATAAAATTTGAAGCTATCTACATGCAGTTTGCATAAAAAGGAGATACTTTAAATACAAATGTGCCAAATTCGACTCAGAAATTACCAACCATTTGCACACGTCATTTGCAACATAGTTCTTTCATATTTGAATAACTACTTTCAGGATAGGAACATAGCAATACCTGTGGGTCTTTTAAAGTAACATTAGTCATTGTCACAATTTAACATTTACATTCGTCACCACTGCTACTTGATTCAAGTGGTTCCTGCATTAGTAATTCGCAATTATAACAATTACGTTCCTCCGTATAATTGATCAATGGGATGGACTATAATTATTAGTTTGGTAATTGGCTATTTAACAGTGTCTCTAAATAATGACGCAGAATCGAAAATGTGTAATGGCTGTGACAACATAGAACGTTGTACTAATTGATTATTAATCCCCATCCCTCATTTCTCCAACTTAACGCGTCTCTCGTGTGTCAAATTGACATTATCGTAAAAAAATCAATATAACAAGAGGCGAACAATTTATTTTACTGAATATTTTATTGGAGATAAAGAAAAATATATTTACATAATGTTTTCTTTACATTTTTCACACAGAATGACACGACGTGCCAGACGAATTACTTTTTTTCGCTTTGTTCTTTATTATTCTTGGAGATCTAACAATAAGTCGTACAGAAAGTGACTACTGCATTTATTCAGTCATTTATTGTTGCTCATAGTTTAAATTTTTATTCACTTCTTATTGCTCGCATCCATTCAAAATTCTTCCAAATTATTGTATTTGAGCTTCTTACAGCTTCTAGATATTTTTTCGACAAAAAAGAAGTGACACGTCTTCTCCTGCTCGTGAAATTCATGTGATAAATTGACGCACAAGACCCTTTTAGTAACAAACATTGTCACATCTTCGCGTTATACGTTTCTTGATTGATAATAGTTAGACTGCGGATTTTTATGCGGAATAAAAATTGTCCTACATCAATTGCAAGAAATGGAAACTAAATCAAAAATTCATTCTGTCTTTAATAATTTTATTAAATTGAAAATAACACAATGACATTTTAAAATTTTTTTAATCTCTCTTCTATTTTGCATTGAAACTACCCATTTTTGCCACAGATGCATAAAATCCGCAATCTAATAATAATAGGTACCTATACTTTATGTTAAAAAAAATAAAAGTCATAAAATCTGCAATGAATTTTCTTAAAAACAGCAGAATAATATAATCTGAAACTTGAAGATGGTGTTAAATTGACATCAGAGATATCAAAACGTCTAATTGTGGAATTCTATATGGACAATACTATCTCATTCAGGGCTGCGGAGTAGTAGACAAGAAGTTGAAAGACGGCTTCGAGTGCCCGAAGGAAACTCAGGTCGACACCAGGGGAATGGTCGTTGATCACCCTAAATTCGCTCATCCGGACGACTGCCAGAAATTTTATGTTTGCTTGAATGGTGTAACTCCGCGCGAACAAGGTTGCAGCGATGGTACCGTTTACAACGAGGAACAGCAAAGATGCGACGCGCCTGAAAATGTTGCTGGATGGTATGTGCAGACAAATGAAATTTAAAAAAAGATTGCCATTAGTTATCATTCAAATTTTTTCCTTTTAAAACGAGCTTCTTAATACAATAAAGTATTGACAGTTTATTGCTTCATAAGAATAATAAGATTACATTTATTCATGATCGATTTTTGCTGTAATATGTCCTAGGATTCATTTGATATTATCTTCGCAAAAGCGTCATTATAATTTCTACAATTTTCAACTAAATAATCTAAAATTCATTTGACAGTTCTTGTGTTCATATGCATATACAATACTACTAATTTCTCGTTTCTTAAAAAACTTGTTGATTTAGTATTGTGGAATTTATTACTTTTTCGTGGTACTCCTTTGTGCATGATGATAGAAGTATTCTTTTTGAAAAATTATGTTAAAAAATTATTTATATATTATACAAAATTATTCCAATTTTTAAATTATAATAGTTTTTATAATAGAAATTTAAATTATAACAAGACTTCAATAGAATTTTTAATTATAAAAGATTTTTAAATAGAATGCATCTTTCAATTTTTTAATAGGTTTCAATTTACAATAGATTTTATATATAATTTTTGATTGTGATGGATTTCATATATAATTTTTTATTAGATGTGTATAAGAGACAGGTACTCCTTTGTGCATGATGATAGAAGTATTCTTTTTGAAAAATTATGTTAAAAAATTATTTATATATTATACAAAATTATTCCAATTTTTAAATTATAATAGTTTTTATAATAGAAATTTAAATTATAACAAGACTTCAATAGAATTTTTAATTATAAAAGATTTTTAAATAGAATGCATCTTTCAATTTTTTAATAGGTTTCAATTTACAATAGATTTTATATATAATTTTTGATTGTGATGGATTTCATATATAATTTTTTATTAGATGTGTATAAGAGACAGGTACTCCTTTGTGCATGATGATAGAAGTATTCTTTTTGAAAAATTATGTTAAAAAATTATTTATATATTATACAAAATTATTCCAATTTTTAAATTATAATAGTTTTTATAATAGAAATTTAAATTATAACAAGACTTCAATAGAATTTTTAATTATAAAAGATTTTTAAATAGAATGCATCTTTCAATTTTTTAATAGGTTTCAATTTACAATAGATTTTATATATAATTTTTGATTGTGATGGATTTCATATATAATTTTTTATTAGATGTGTATAAGAGACAGGTACTCCTTTGTGCATGATGATAGAAGTATTCTTTTTGAAAAATTATGTTAAAAAATTATTTATATATTATACAAAATTATTCCAATTTTTAAATTATAATAGTTTTTATAATAGAAATTTAAATTATAACAAGACTTCAATAGAATTTTTAATTATAAAAGATTTTTAAATAGAATGCATCTTTCAATTTTTTAATAGGTTTCAATTTACAATAGATTTTATATATAATTTTTGATTGTGATGGATTTCATATATAATTTTTTATTAGATGTGTATAAGAGACAGGTACTCCTTTGTGCATGATGATAGAAGTATTCTTTTTGAAAAATTATGTTAAAAAATTATTTATATATTATACAAAATTATTCCAATTTTTAAATTATAATAGTTTTTATAATAGAAATTTAAATTATAACAAGACTTCAATAGAATTTTTAATTATAAAAGATTTTTAAATAGAATGCATCTTTCAATTTTTTAATAGGTTTCAATTTACAATAGATTTTATATATAATTTTTGATTGTGATGGATTTCATATATAATTTTTTATTAGATGTGTATAAGAGACAGGTACTCCTTTGTGCATGATGATAGAAGTATTCTTTTTGAAAAATTATGTTAAAAAATTATTTATATATTATACAAAATTATTCCAATTTTTAAATTATAATAGTTTTTATAATAGAAATTTAAATTATAACAAGACTTCAATAGAATTTTTAATTATAAAAGATTTTTAAATAGAATGCATCTTTCAATTTTTTAATAGGTTTCAATTTACAATAGATTTTATATATAATTTTTGATTGTGATGGATTTCATATATAATTTTTTATTAGATGTGTATAAGAGACAGGTACTCCTTTGTGCATGATGATAGAAGTATTCTTTTTGAAAAATTATGTTAAAAAATTATTTATATATTATACAAAATTATTCCAATTTTTAAATTATAATAGTTTTTATAATAGAAATTTAAATTATAACAAGACTTCAATAGAATTTTTAATTATAAAAGATTTTTAAATAGAATGCATCTTTCAATTTTTTAATAGGTTTCAATTTACAATAGATTTTATATATAATTTTTGATTGTGATGGATTTCATATATAATTTTTTATTGTGATAAATTTTAAATACAATGATGTTACTGTTTTCTTTTTCAAAAATTCTTGGTTCTTGTAATGTGAGTGGACTGCGAATTTTGTACATTTATGCTATAATTGACTAAGTAAAGTACCAAACAATCAAGACAGAAGAATTTGGGAATGTTCTTAAATTATTGAAATTATTTAAAAGAAATAAATTTTTATTTTACTTCTGTGATAAAGAAAAGTTTACGAAGAAAATCGGCATGAATATCCACAGTCCAATAATAATTAAAAATGATAAAAATTTGGAGCAAGAACATTGTATCAGTGATACGAGAAGCGACTAACAATAAACTTGTTTTTGTTACAGCGAGGACTGGTATAAGGATGACGACAAAAAGCCGTGAAATGTCTTCGCAATTCGTATGTCCCGCATCGGGATCTCGATATCATCGTAAAATCACATCATCTTCGTTTAGCGCGTAATCCATGTGTGTGTTTAGATATTTGAGTGTTCGTAAATAATAAATATTCTATTTTACCTTATTCGTATCGTTTCCTGACGTTCTGCTTGAAATCCTTCCTTAATTCTGCCACGGTAATTAATATCTTGTTATTGGTGATTTATAAGTTAAAGGTAAAGTTCTTTATACGAAGCCTTTGCGGCATTATTGCAAATCTGGAGTAAAAAGGGATATTACCGCATAGCTGATAACTTACTTTCACAGCGCAATATAGCAACGAAGATGCAGGAAATCTTCGACTTCTCTTTCATATTCAGCCAAGCAAATCGGCAGAAACTTTCTCCTCGGCGTTTCAATATTTTTTGTTCGTCAATCCACTGAACGGACGACTTTCGTGTTAATGTGCTTTTTACACGCACGTCCGATTTGCTCTTTACGTGTAGGAGCTGTATCTAGTGCACACCGGGTGTCATGTTTCAATTTCATTAGACAGTGATGCCTGAAAGTGTATCACGAAAGTGAAACTAAGGAATTCCAGAGAAAACATTACATAATCGAATGGATCTTCAAGGTACATACTGTTTTCAGTAATAACAAGCTTTTCAAGTCTTCGGTAACCATAATATTGTATACTGAAAATTGTATTGTATATTTATTTTAAAGGTAGAATCGTTGCGGAATTGAAAATGAGTATGCTAATTAATATCGAATAAACAAGCATAGATTCCTTTCCTTCGATAATCACTTTCTACTTTCATAGTAATTTTTCTAATCACTGTTCCGGCACTATACTTCTTCCTTGTTTTTGAAACCTTCAGCCACTACTGCTGCTCCTTTTTCTCGTTACTTTCTTTTGTCCAATCATGTTCTTCCATCTCATTACTGTTTCTCTTTATTGCAATTTCAAATATTCATTAAGAAGTAATGGCAGACGAAGTAACATAATAGAACTTCATCGAGACAAGATAAAGTGAAAGAATGATTGAATTATTGGTTGAGCCAAGAAGGAAACGTAGAGTATGAAATAGGACGAAGGACAAGAAACAGAAGCTTTCGGTTCTTGATTCATGATTTAGAATCATGTGCAAAGAGTGCAACCTCTGCGAACTCGTAAAACAAGAAGACAGGTATGCAACGATAAAGAACAGGAAATGATATAATTTTGTTTCTACAGTTGTGAACATAAGTGAAACCTCTGCGAGATTATAATTTACGACATGAAACAAGATAAGGTAGAACGACACAAAATTACAGAGAAGGAAGAGAGAAGCATAAGGCATTACGAACAAAACGATGCAGAACCAGAAGAGATAAAATCTTATTTTTAGCAATTATAAATTCAGAACTCTGTGAAATGCAGACACAAAAATGTTTCAGTTTGTAGACATTACTTACTTGTAATATAACGTTATGTATAATTGCTCAGGTTTTCTTTTACGATATGACGTGTCTATAAAAATACGATAAAAACACCGATATCAATTGGTTGCAAAACATAAGGAACGTGTAACCAAAGTGCAAATAAAAGTGTAAGTAAAACATTCCTGTTTTGAAAGTTGTTCAGTGTTTTATGCGCGATTAGTTGTTTTTAGTAAACAAAATTCTTAGTGGGACAGTCAAGAAAGTGTTCCTTAACATAGTTGGCAAAAGATATTGTAATAAATATTAAACAGCTGAAGATAATAAATTTACTAGTCGTTACTATCATCCGGTCCAGGTCTTACAATATGATTTCATGATGAAAAATGTTGGTCCATCATATAAGCGTGACCAAAGGTTCTCCAAGCTTGCCTTAGGCCCTTAGGTCCTTAGGCTATCGTGGGATACCTTAGGATACTTTGAAAAACTACCGGTTAACATAAAGGTGGCCCAGGATAGTCTTAGGTATCCCATGGTAATCCAAAGTAGCCTAAGGTATCTCACGATAGCCTAAGGACCTAAGGGCCTAAGGCAAGCTTGGAGAACCTTTGGTCACGCTTATATGATGGACCAACATTTTTCATCCTGAAATCATATTGTAGGACCTGGCCCGGATGATAGTAACGACTAGTAGGCAAGGTGGTTTAAATGAACCCTTGGACCATCTTAAATTAGCCGAAGATAGAACAAAGTAACTCTGAAAAACTACCGGTTAACACCAAGGTGGCCCAGGATAGTCTTAGGTATCCCATGGTAATCCAAAGTTACTTTGTTCTATCTTCGGCTAATTTAAGATGGTCCAAGGGTTCACTTAAACCACCTTGTCTACCTTCACATACTTTAAGGTAATTCACGAGTTTTATGAACTACTTCGTCCTACTTCGAGCTAGTACAAGGGTTATGTGAAGGGTTTTTTTTTTAACTGCTCCGTTCTACCTGCAGTCAGCTTAATATGGTTCAAGGTTATTTTTTAAACTACATCATTTTAATTTGAACTAGTTTAAGATGATTTAAGGTTTTTTTTTTAAAGAACTGCCTTGTTTCATCTTGAGCTAGTTGGGATTCTAGCCTAGGTGTCAGCCATGAATTAACATAACCTTAATCGTATCGCAAAGTGCGATCTTCTAGCATTAAATTAAGCTTTCAAAGTATCGAAACTTTCCATTGTATTTCATATACTGTACAGCTTTTATATACTATGAAATTATCACACACTAGTTGAATTGTAGTATACGGAATACTCTGTTTTTACTAATAAATCTAAATTTGAAAATTGTCGATAAGGTCGCACACATCATGATAATGGTAATAGGAGTTTCAAAGTCCAAAAGATCCAAGATAGATAAATTCTTGTAGTTTGTCTGTAGGCATGCTATAATAGTACATTTACGTACTATTATAATAGTTGCATCTATTTCTTTTCTCGTCTAGACTTTCATCACAGATTTAGGATTTGTACAAGCATTGTATCTTTTCTTTCTCAGTTTCGGGGGACTCTAGAGTTTTTTAGAGCCCACTTATCATTTCGTGACGCGCTCAGAGTTACCGATAGTTCACGGAAAACTAGACACGTTAGCTAGAAGCGAATATCCTGTATATTTCATTTTTACTACGAGAGCATTTCGAAGAGTAATTTGAAGGCAATAAGCGTATTTATGAAACCTATACTACAGAAATACGATATAAAGTGTAATTATTTTTATGGACAATTCAGCAATTATTTGTGTATAATAATGAGTGATGGTACACATATAACAATAGTTTTCTATATTTTGTTTTACAGATGGTTATTTATAACGTTAATTTTATAAGCTTTGCTTATGCTAACATTGCAAAAAGAGCATTGCATGCAATGTTTGTACGGATTTTAAGTCTGTGATACTAAGTTGTTGCAAAAGTAATTTAGATTTTTTTGTTGAAGCTATCTATTTGGAAAACCGAAAATACATTTGCAACAATCCAATAGAGACTTTCTGAATCATCGAATCATCGAGGCGAAGTTTGTAGCTGAAAATTCAGAAGAAATTATACAGCAGATATCATATCTATAATTATAACAAAATATTATTTTACAATTCCTCCTAACAGTGGAACACGTCACCTTACACTGCAAAAGACACATGAGGAAAAGAAGACAACACAACATAAGAACTCCTTTAGAAGACATACTGAAGAACAATGGGACAATCCAAAACTTGCTGCATTACTTAAAGCAAACTAAATTATACAATCAAGTATAAACCAGACTTTGAGTCGTTAATAACCCACTCACTGATGCCACTTGAAACACTGCACATAAAAAAAATATCAAAACCTCATTTGCAAAGTAGAGGTATACAATTATACATCGTTATTCGCATTTAATTCGTTTACTTGACTTCGGGGTTGGGGAAAAATAAATTTTTGGAATAGTAAATAGACAAATAGACTATAAATATTTTTATCTTCTCATGTAATATAGAATTTGGTAAGTAAACTTCTATATATATATATATATATATAACTACTACTTCAGAAAATGTTTATTTGCCAAATTCTGTATTACATGGGAAAATAAAAATATTTATAGTCTATTTACTATTTAAAAAAATTTATTTTTTCCCAGCCCTGCTTCACAGCAATTAGCTCGATGTAATTATTGATTTCGAATCAGTTATAGAATGATCGCGGTTTCTTTCGATTTATAACTGATTAGAAATCGATTGCCCGAGTCTCATCACGTGGAGGTTGCTGTGACTGGAGAGTCGAAAGGGAGTCAGAACGAAGACAGAATTCGTTGACGCCTTTCTTACAAGTTTTACTTTTAATTAACACCTTAATAAGTAACGTCGTAATAAATAATGACTTAATAAATAACGCTTTAATAAATAACCACATGTCAACGAATTATTGCGAACCAAAAGTGGAGTCATCGGCAGATGAGACGTCTTCGTACGGTGATATCTCTCGATAAAACCTAAAAGCATCCAAATCCCAAGCGATTATGATTCTTCTATAGTATATCACCACCGATCACGAATACGAATATGAATTTTCGAAAAATAAAATTACATTTGTATACCCAGTGCACGTATTACCACATCCCAATTACAACAACACAATCACGTAATAGTTATAAATGAGATTTGTTAAATAATCTGAGATAGGCTTAAACTTAGAATGACAATTGAAAAAAAAGATAAAAAAGAGAAGAGAGATTTGATAAATGATAATACTAAATAATACTTATAAATACGCGAGTGAACCGCGCAACGCTATTTTCAGGAATAGACATTGCTCTTTAAAAGCAAACGTGATTAGTTGCAAAACATAAGGAACGTGTAACCAAAGTGCAAATAGAAGTGTAAGTAAAACATTCCTGTTTTGAAAGTTGTTCAGTGTTTTATGCCCGATTAGTTGTTTTTAGTAAAAAATATTCTTAGTGGGACAGTCAAGAAAGTGTTCCTTAACATAGTTGGCAAAAGATATTGTAATAAATATTAAATGGGAGGGATTGTCGAATTTATAGTGGATCATCCTCCCTGCATACTTTTATATCTGTAATTTTATTCTAATTTCATCGAACAATTTTATATGATACCGAACAGATGAATTACAATTATATTTTGCATGCAGATAGGAAATCTAAGTCAAAGGGGTAAAGGAACGTGGACTTATTTTTCG